GAGCGTCGCAGTTGGGAGGGGCACCCTGCCCTGTAGCCCCCCGCAGCATCACCCAGCACCAGGGCACCCTGTGCTGTGCCCTCCCCCTCCAGCCCTCGCCCCGCCGGGCAATGCCTTACCCATCTGGTTCTTGTTGGGCAGGTAGTAGGCGTTCAGTGCTTGGGGAGGCAGCAGCCACCTGCAAGGAGAGACGGCAGTGCCAGGCTGCGGGGGCACCGGGGGGCACAGAAATGCCACCCCCTTGCACAGCTTGGGGGACAGAGGGATGTTCCTGGCTTGCCCTGTGCCCTCCTGCCTACACCCTGTGGGGTACAATCGGGCATGTGGACAGAGGGCATTGGTGGGGTCATGCAGGATACCCACGCAGACTTGTCCACCTCCTGCCGGATCTTCTTCACCGAGAGCCTGATGCTGAAGGCGACGCTGTTGAGGATGTTCTTGAAGTAGGTCTTCTCGTCCACCTCAAACTGGGGGGGTATGGCCACATCAGAGGGAATGCCAGCCCTGAGAGTGTGGGGAACAGGGCTGGGGTACCCTCCTACCCCCATGAGCCTCGGGGACAGAGGTTGTGGTGTTGTGACCGTGGGCTGAATGTGGCATGAGTGTGTCCTCATGCTGTGTGCCCGTGTGGGCAGCTGCATCTCCGTCAGCTCCATGGATCCCTAGGCCATGCTGGCACCTCCAGCTCTTGCTGAGGTTGGGGCTGAGCCCTAAGGGGTGTGATGTGGGGAAGGAGACATGGTCCCAGACCCTCGGGACAGTATGGCACTGCCCGTGGGGCTGTAACCATGCAAGTGGTGGGCACCATGAACTACAAGGAGGTGACACGTTTTGGGGTGGCATCTCCCCATCTTGGTCTCTGCAGACCCCATGGCAAATGTGGGGACCACCTCCTCCCTCCACACACCCATGCTTTCCCACCGCCCTGGGCCAGCTCTTGCCTCATATTCCTTGTAAATGGCCTCTGGCTTCAGCCGGACATCAGGGTACCCGATCATCACCATCATGTACCGGAGCTGTGGGCAAAGCCAATGGGGGGGGTCAGGCTCCCCATGCACCTGCCCCCTGGGCCGTGGTGGAGGAAAGGGCAGAGGTCCACACTGGGGGCACTACCTTGGCCCTGGCCGCTCTCCGTGTCTCTTCATCCATCCAGTCCAGCTCATCCAGGCGCTGGTCCAAGATGTATTTGATGTCCTCCACCAGCTGCTGCACCTATGGTGGGTCGACACGGCACTGGCACAGTGTCCTCACCACCCATCACCCTGCCAGACAGCCCTCGGTGGGGTACTGGTTGGCGGTAGGCACCATGGCAAGGTGACAAGAGAGATGTGGTAGCTTCATGTCCACAGGCAGCATCACGTACCTTGGCTTTGCTGGCAGAGGAGAAGTGCTCCTCAACGAAGAGGGCACCCAGGGCCATGCCAAAGTGCTTGTTGGCCTGGCTCAAGCACATCTTGCCTGGCTCGAGCTGCTTCTCATTGCCCTCCATCTCCTTGGAGAGCTCATGGATGGCGTCCCGGAAGGGGGTGGAGAGGTGCTCGCTCAGCACCACCACAATGCGCCACAGCATGTAGTTGTGCAGGATCCTGGTCATGGGGGGCAAAATCACCCTCCCCCCAACACCACTGGACGTGTGCCCAGGTATGTGGGGAGGGTGAGGAGCATGCACCAGGATGGGGGCACCTCTGCTTGGGGACCAAGCAGACCACAGGGGTGGCCACGGGCTGTGGGGGCACAGGGCTGGGCTGGCACAGTGCA